AGGGCAGTGGGCAGCAGCCGCGCGTCTCGGTGGGCACAATGGGCTTTATCCCGCGGTGAGCTCCCGGGCGCCGCTTCCCACCCCGAGTTTCGGATTCGTGTCCCACGCCGGCGAGGCCCCGCGTTAAGGAAAGCTCTGTCTCTCTGCAGATGGGTGTCCGCGTTCCGCGATTCGCGCCGGGGACGGTGCCCGATGTGGCCGTGTACGCGCTGTGAGTTCTTTCTGTCCACGTATTCTCCGCTGGGCTCCATTTCAATGCGAGCGGGGAGGCCGGCCGAGTGAAAGGCTGCCGCTCCGATCTCGGGCGGGATCTGCTCTGCCTGCTCTTGGAGGGTGGAAGCTTTGTGCCCGGGAAACGTCCTTTTCTATTCTTGTGGAGGAGTCAAGGCAGCTTTCTCTCTGACAATGATGAAGACTGAAGGCAAAGGGGAAAGGACTTTAAGAAGTGCTTCTCCACACCGAAATGCCTATAAATCAGATTTCCATGCTATCAAATGCTCTTTTGATGGCGTAAACAATCCTGAAAAAGCTTCCAATAAAACGGGCTTGCATCAGAAGCTAAGCACCTCTTCCAGCGGAGGGGGAAATGACCCACACACTCGAGGCAGAGCTGCCACTTACGGCAATAGAGTACACAAGATCAAAAATATGTTTTTGCAAATGGGAGGTTCTTCTTCCACACCCTCTTGTGAAAGCAGTCCACCTGCTGAGACCAAGTTAATCAGCCGAACCACAGCAGCAGAGTATGCACCTTCTCCAGGTAGCCCATCTTTCCTTATTGTCCAAAAAAATAATTTCATTAACACAAGTACCAGCCCTTGCACCAGTCCTGTGGATTCATTGTCTGTGCCTTCCACTGCCGACAAGGTCATCCGTAGTAATGATGAGGCAAACTTGGACAAAGTTGCCCTGGCAGAAAAATTTTCAGAAACCAGGAAGCTGTTTGAGAGAAATATAAGACAGCAGAGCTCAGTGGACAGATGTTCCCCCAGCAAATGTGAAAGAAGCGAGGATAAGAGGAGACATGATTCAGCTTCTGATTGCAGCAATGTGGTAGACTACTTCAGTTTTAATACAGAAGCAAGCCTTCCAGTTGCGCTGGAGAAAGTTGAAAGTAAAGGTAATGAGTTGAAGCAGCAACATCCCAATAGTGGTTCCAAATCCTCATTCCTGAATGCAGGACCCATTTCTAGGAGGCTGGAAGGCTTTCTGGGTGACAGTGATACTGAAGAATCCAAAGGCATTTCCAGAAATTATAGTCCTCCGAGTCAGGACTCTTTGAGGGGCCACCACAGTTGGCATTCATCCAGTGCTGTTGCTGAAGGATTTCCGGAGAAGGCTGCATCCACCAAAGTGCCTGTGATCCTCGGAGATGAGCTGAGTGAGGCATTTGGGAAAGACAAAAGAGAGCAACTGATAATTAAGAAAAGCCTGTGGGATATGGGCAGCACGTCTGGTCAGGAGGCTCAGCGGAGATCAGATGATGTCCTCTCCCAGGTTTCCCCCGTGGAGTGGGCTTGTGCAGAGCTGGTTGCACAAGACAAAACCTCAGGGCATGGAAAAGAGGGTTTGGATAAAGATCACGTTGGAGAGGATCAGCTGCTCAGATGTCAAGTACAGGAGGGGAATAGGAGCGAACACTGCTTGGAAGTGGTAGAACAGTTTACGGAAGGCAGCAAGACCAGCCGGGAGGAAGAAGGAGATGGGATGTCTGTGAGAGATGGTCCAGTTACAGAGGTTTGGGATGTTCTGGAGCAGGGAGGGCCTACTGAAGAAGAGGAGCAAGTAGTGGAAAAGCTGAGCGAGAACTTTCATCCTTTTGGAATAGAGAATGAAGCTTTTGATGATGACAGGGATACAGAGCCAGAAAACCAAGGGCCTGAAGGCAAAGAAATTTTGGAAGAGGAGGAGTATATGTGTGACAGCGAATATGAAGAGTTTCCTGGACTCTCTGAAGAGGAAAATCCTGAGCCAGACCGAAAAGTCAAGTTCTCAACAGCTCCTATCAAGGTAAGTATATTCGAATTTTTTGTTTTTTAAAATTGTTTTGCAGTAAAAAAATACTCAAGAAATAAATTTCTGTGGGCTTTTTTTTCCCCCAAAGATCTAAAAAACATTTAAAAAGTCTTGAGTTTTCACAAGTGATTTCTGAATCATAGTAGTTTCATAAGATAGCATAGTGAAACACGTGAGAATTTACTGAACATTTGCAGGAATG